TATTCCGGGTAAATCGAATTTACTAAAAACAAAAACAAAGTTTATTCACATTGAGTAATAAAAAATCAAAGTTTCAGAAGCGATGGAAAATAATCTCAAACAAAAAACCCGGACAATTAGCAACGTTGTTCATTTTTCGTCATGGAATGCGGGGAATCGCCGGTAACTTTGTCCTTTGATAGTTACAATTGTTTTCATTTTACGTTGAATAAATGTGAAACAAGCGATAGAAATTTGTAACTTTTTGCGAAACGTATTTTAATATATAAAAATGGGAAGGCGATCTGAACAGACGTCATTAAAATTTTTGTCTTACACTGCAAATACCTTCGCGAAGTATCAAATGTAAGTGCCCAAAGTTTTTGTCAAAGGTATAATACCAACTAACACACATATATCAGGGCTGGAACAAGTTAACATTTTGACTGCCACGTCACCCACATATGGGTGACAGGATTTACCACTACGATACTGAAAAAATTGATTCTCAAGTTAAGACGTTGAGGGAAATAAATTTGGATAGAATTTGTGAATTTTAACAAAGTTACAAAAATAAGTACTGAGACAAATTTTAGGTTATGTAGTTTACAATGGTTTGAAATCAAAATTATACTTTTGTAGAATATTAGACGGTTTTGATCTGGCAGCGAACGTGTTGAACAAGTTAATTATGTAAGAGAATAAATCAATAACGCTTTATCGAAGAACAGCAGCAAGACGTAGTTCTCACGCAGTACTATCAGACACAAGAAGGAACGGTTAGGTCCAGACGAGCGCACCACGCACAACCGTAAGATGCGCACGCATCAGAACTCTCTAGACCAGCACGCATGGTAGTTCACAATGTCTCCAGTTTTATTTGGAGCCACTGTATATAAATTTTTTATACATAGAACGGCACCTTATTATTTTCTCCACAAATGCATCGCAGAAACCCTGATTGATGATAGTCGATTTCGTCCATTAAATAATTCCCGCCAGAGTATCGCGTGCTTGCGGACGTCGCCAGGTTGAATTTGAACAGAGGCTCGCGAATGTCAACGTGATTGTGTTACCATGGTGAGTCGAGTCTCCTTCTTCCAGCACTTGCCGAAGTAAGCAGCGTCGCGACGCAACGGAACAGGGAACGTGAAAATTTCCCTCGTTTTTCACGATTTCCCTCGTCCGTTGCCATCGAGCCGGGCTAGGAGTGAACGTTCTCTCCACGGACGGTTTATCGTTGGCCAATCTTCTTTTTCACCTCGTTTTCGTCCTCTCTGTCTGTCGTCGAGCAGCGACGCAAACACGCACGAACCGGTGAAAGCGACGAACCGTCCATTGTTTCCCAGTATTTCCCGGCGCGCACCTGTTCGCAGCATTGTTCCCAAACACGTACTGCGCGCGCGACGTCACTTTATTCGCGCTCCTTTGGGAAATACCGACCGGCGACTCTCTCTTCATCCTCCCACAGGAGACAATGCGTGAGAAGATGCAGATCGATCCCGTCGTGCCTTGCGAGATCGATTCGCGTCGTTCTCACGCGTCCACGGTAGGACTCGTTTACCGAAACCCGATCGACGTTCGAACGGTTATTTTAGCGTTTCAAATGGATTTACACCTCTTCCAACGCCGATCGACATCAACCACAGTGTCTTTAATTATTCACCTTTTATTTTATTCATTTGTAATACAAAAACCTTTCGGATACAGGGTGTTTGGACCAACCCGTGGGAAAAAAATTTTAATGGGAGATTCTAGAGGCGAAAATAAGACGAAAACCAAGAATACCGATTTGTTGATTGAGGCTTCGTTAAAAAGTTATTAACGTTTATTACACTCAATGTAAGGCTCATTTTGTGGAAGGAATTAGGTCTATTATAAATAATTCAATGTAGCTTTGACTTAAAAATGAAATATAATAATTAATATTCTGTTTATATGTAACACTCTGCCATGTGCACACCACTCTCTCGAGACAAAAGGGACTCTCCCGCAGCTCCGTTCACGCACCAATGCTGCCAACATTCATTCTATTTCACACCATACTCACTCACAAGGCATACAACTTAATAAAAATAACCCCACACATTTTTCTAGGGCTCTAGAGCTCCATTAATATGCATTGTTTGCATTCTGATCATTAAAATCCTTCAATCCGTCCGAAAGTTACGATTTTTGAAACGTACGCATGAAATTTCGAAGAAACATTTCTGGCTACACAGTATATTTTCGGTAAAGAATTTTTTTTCCTGAAAGTACGTAGGATTTCGGGGGTATGTGTATTGGCCAAAAATGATTGTAATTGACCCTCGCAGCCAAAAATAATTTTTCCAGAACGAATTTAAATTTTTTAATTTTCACGAAAAATTTGTTCACCTACTCGAATTTTTTTCTCGAAAGTCCGTAGGATTTCGGGTGTGTGTCTATTCACCAAAAATGATTGTAATTGACCCCCTCAACTGAAAATAATTTTTCCAGAACGATTTGCAATGTTTTAATTTTGTCGAATTTGTCCACCTACTCAAATTTTATTCTCGAAAATTATAGTGTGTCGAAGTATTGGCATCGTGTTGGTAAGAGTTTCAAAAGATACCATAACAATGACTAATTATAAATTATTAATAATGCTAAAGAATTAATGATTAAAAACTGTCGGTGTGCAGAAACTAGGGAAAACTTTCTTCATTGTTATTTAGGCCTCGTCGACCCGTGGCTGGAGTTGATCCCACGCGTTATACTGCCCCTTATTTACGAGAAGTAATATACAATAACCTTCCACTGTGACGCTAGTTCGAAAGCAGACGATGACACAATGAAAGGACAGGTAGAGAAATTCGACAAAATTAAAAAATTTCGAATCATTTTGAAAAAATTATTTCTGTTTACGGGGGTCAATTGCAATTATATTTCGCGAGCACACGTACCCCCGAAATTCTACGTATTTTCGAGAAAAAAATTCGGGTGCCTAAATTATTCGGGCGAAAATAAAAAATTTCAAATCGTTTTAAAAAAATTATTTTTGTTTACAGGGGCCAATTGCAATTATATTTCGCGAGTACACGTACCCCCGAAATTCTACGTATTTTCGAGAAAAAAATTCGGGTGCCTAAATTATTCGGGCGAAAATAAAAAATTTCAAATCGTGTTAAAAAAAATATTTTCAGTTGCGGGGGTCTGTTATAATCATTTTTAGTGAATAGACATACCCCCAAAATTCTACGCACTTTCGAAAAAAAAAATTCTTCGTCGAGAATACAATGTCTGACCGTAAATGAAATTTCTGTCTTCGGTCTACTTATGGAGTTTCATGAATAAAAAGAATTATATTTTTTCACTATCAAATTCACTATTGTCTACATTCCGTATCATGAAACATATGTTTCTTTTAAAGGCTGGTCGTGGTAGTATGCATTGAGTGTCGATATGTTTACTGTTAAAGAACTGGTGAGGATAACTTTGAGACGATGAGATTCGAAAAATGTGACACAATGGGAGGATTTACTGTGCTTCGTTTAGCAACAGTATTGTGGCGTTCCGTCCTAGATCTGTTGGAGGACTCTTCGGTAAAACCGTTCATACACTCGGGAGATCGTCTACCTCGCTGGTTCTTTTCGTAAGAAAAATAGTCGATGAAATAGCATACGTGCCATACACGGCTATTCCAGCGTATCTTGTCTGAAATGATCCATAAACTACCTAAAAGTTTACCCATAGTCTCGATCGACCGTTTCCCTTAGAAAAAAGATCAGCGAGAATGACGACGAATCAAACTTGCGGATAAACCTCCGATAATCCCCACATGTATAGAGAAATCAGTTGAAAGTCTTCAGCCATACGTAGAACCTATACATTCAACTTTGCAATAACGACAATCTTAATAATAGTCATTCAACGACTAAACGTTTGAACAGTATTTAGAAGAAAAAGATGTTAATAATAAAAAGGGAAATATAGAATTTCGTTATGAAATTGAGAAGAAGTACTATTTGTAATTATTTACTCCTAACATTTTTCTATCCCGTAAAACGGTCGCGATTAGACGCTCTAACAAATGAACAAATAAACTGAATAGCTTCTGAAATAAGAGTCGCGTGTCACAACGCTGAAATTTAGTTCAGAACCTAATAGTTTCATGTTTTGAGTTTTGGGTATTTGATCCACTGTGACGCGTGCTCATCCGTGTGAAAAACGATTCCATGAATTCTATTGTAAGTGGCGGTTCGTCGGTGAGGCTTGGTCAATTGGCGAGCAACGATTCCTAGGTTCTCCTCGAACCTCCAGTCGGATGAGAACCAGTCGCCCTCTGTTGGCTGTGTGCCAAATCAGTATGTAATTTACCGTCTCCGCGTTGCTTACTTCCGCGGAGCCCACAATGCGTTTAGCCTGTGTGCCGGTGAAACTGGGTCAAGAATAGGCTGAAAGAAAAATACGACGATTCGAGGGTAACGTTTGAGAACGATTCGGATCGTTTGTCACAGGTCATTTAGCGGATTCGAAGCCTCTGTCCTCTTCTGCAGCCCCTTGCGCGGCTCTTACCTTCCCGTCACTTTCTACGTATGCACTGTCGCCTGAAAACAAATGACGAACAAGCAAATGGAAATTCCAGCCGTTTGTCAGCGAGATTGTAAGCTTTGTAGATAATATAAAAAAAGAAAAATCAGTCTCGTCTGTTAATCGCTAGTTTCTGTACGAGGATTCGGGAAACGCGGATTAGACGAAGCGGAGGAAGAGATAGGTGGAAATCGGTTGTTGAATTAGTAACGGGACAAAGAGAACGGGTTCGTTGTTGCATTACCGTCTCCTATTAATTCGACAATTAGCTGTCGCCTCGTCTCCGCGAGGGTACCAGTCAAACAGAGCAGACTAATTCCCGGTTATCTCCATCCATCCTTCAGCCCGGCTCGAATCCTTCTTCCGTTCCGAGCGCCCCCTGCCTCTTGCCTTCTGTTTCTTCCTTCCCCGACCTCCGATAATTAGCTTAATTAACACAATTATCGCTGTCTTTTTTCTTCTCTTTGCAGGTGCGCACCTTATTCGTGAGCGGCCTACCGATGGACGCCAAACCGAGGGAGCTATATCTGCTGTTCAGAGCATACGAGGTAAGCGGTACTAGTAATTCTCGAATCTAAACTTTCGTATAGTTAATTTTCAAATTTCTTTAGTATTATTATATTTCATGAAATTTACACGCTGACTTAAGGGGGTATTACTACTCTAAACTTGCCAAAAACTCGATTCTCTGAAATTTCTAGAGAATTAATATCTTTCGTATACGTAATTTTCAAATTTATTTAGTATTATTATATATCACGAAATTTACACGCTGACTTAAGGGGGTATCCTATAAACTTTCTAAAAACTCGATACACTTTGGAAATTCCAAAGAATTAATATTTTTCGTATACTTAAATTTCAAATTTATTTGATATTATTTTATTTCACGTAATTTACACGCTGAATTAAGGTGTTATTACTACTATATACATTCCAAAAACTCGATTCTCTGAAATTTCTAAAGAATTAATATTTTTCATACACTTAATTTTCAAATTCATTTAGTACTAGCATGGCCCGTCTCGGCCTCGTCCGATCTTGTGCAAAAGCAATTTATGATTAGGCGATCGTCCTGACATACTTTCGTATATTTCCGCGATAATGCAATTCTCTCGCGAGAAAGCGCTCGAGAAGCTTCGCCACCTAGCGGTAACATCGCAGTAATGCTACGGGGGAGGTATCGCGGTGAATTAAGGTGTTATTACTACTATATACATTCCAAAAACTCGATTCTCTGAAATTTCTAAAGAATTAATATCTTTCGTATATTTAATTCTAAAATTTATTTAATATTATTATATTTCACGTACTTTACACGCTGTATTAAGTGATTATTACTACTATAACCTTCTAACAACTCGATTCTCTGAAAATTCCGGAAAATTAATATCTTTCGTATACTTAATTTTCAAATTTATTTAGTATTATTATATTTCACGTAATTTACACGCCGACTTAAGGGGTTATTACTACTGTAAACATTCCAAAAAATTGATTTCTCTTCTTTTACATTTTCTTGATGAATCGTTGTTCTAGTCGTTTTTATTTAAAGTGGTATAAGTCCATTGTTAGGAAAAAAATGAGTTAATGGTAGTTTTAGCGAGATACAGACACCCTCTTTTTATATTTGTAATCACACGTTCGATGGTGTACGATATCCTCGTGAATTAATTAAAAGAAGTTTAACGTAATCGTTAATCAGATCGTTATTACGTAAATATATGAAGTTCTTGTTACAACTACCGTACACACCAACGCCATCAACTCGTCACCTCCACACATTGAACTTTGAACTAGCCCTTACGTCATTAATTTCCCGCAAGAGGCACCGGGACTCCTCGAGAATGATCGAGCGGCATCCGATTACGATTTCGTGCCACGTTTCATGCGCGATCAGGTCGAAAATGTAGAACAAACATAACCTCCCACGCGGCATAATATTCGACGGAATTAATTTTGCAACTTCGTTAAAAACAAACGCGTTTGCCATTCATATTATAAAATCTATTTCCAATTTCGTCCGACTGAACAAGCGAAAATAAAAAAAAGAAAAATAAGAAAATCGAAAATACTTAAAATTTGTCTATTTTCTCATTTAAAAGCACACGCGACATTTTCATACGACAATAGCGCATATTTGCCATAATTGAAAGCCAATTACCGTACCTAGAATCAACATTCCACATTTTGCATACTTTGGGTCGAATGAAATATTTCTATATAATTTTCTAATTAACAGACAAACTTCGTGAAACGATTCTACTTGCTTTCAGCCAACAGTTTGGTCGTAGAAATTGGAAATAAACTAAAATTGTAATTGACAGTGTATTGAGCTTCAAGTTGCGCAGAATTGAATAAAATTTAGATTTTTTTTTCAAAGTTAATGTGCACTCGAATGCAATGCACAACAACGTATTGTTATTTTACACATTTCAAATGGGTTAAGGTTGCTTTATATTAGTTACGATGCCGGTCCAGCCAAGTATCACTCAATGCTCCACAACTGACCCAACGTGCATCAGAATTCGCATTCACGTCACGTTCCGAATTACTGACTGAATGGTCAATTTCAGGCCTGAGCTCACTGTGAATGGACCACAATTAAACCATCAACGAAATAATTGTGCGATGATAATAACGTTTCCATTAGAAATGTATATCATGACACCCACAAAACTATATCAATTGATAACATAGTAAAAATTATATTGTCAAAAGGATTAGAAAAATTTTACATTAATCAAAAAGAATCTTCTTAAAATAATTGCTTATTGTAATTTAAAGATGTCTTCTTGTACTAGCCAACAAAATTACAATAGTTTCTTTTTTTTTTTAAAGAAAATTGTATCACTTAGTTTACTTTTGCAAACAAAGGTTAAGTTTATAAATTTCGACATTTTGCATAGCAGATATGTATGCAAAATGTTAAAATCGAAAAACTTATTTATTACCGTCAGTAATAAATAGACCCAAAACAAAAAAACTTCCCGAAACATTATAAAGTGCAAAAAAATATAAAACGACGATAAGATAATTGTAAAACACAATTTTTTTGTGTAAGAATTTACAAACGTGCATTAAAGTTGAACGATAAATATAGGTAAATGTACATTTCTATCTTTAACCTCTTCACGCCCCTAGCCACATACGTGGACGTTTAGTTTATTTTTTTTTTATAATTATAGTTACTGGCAATAATAAATAGACCCAAACCAAAAGCAAACAAAAAAAAAAATCGTCCCTGGAGAGGTTGAGGTTGAAATTTGTATGAAAATGTAAAGAAAAATCGACTATTTTTTACCTCGAAATAAACAAGCATTTTAAAGAATGAAGTATACTAATTCATCCTTAAAGAGAAGGAGCATTGGAACTTGGTCGTGCGCGAGCGAATGTAATAGTTAATGTTCGTTTTAGAGCTTAAACCGGTTAACGGTGGCACGTGCTAAAATTTCGATCGAGTTTAGGCGAGCCGTGTCGTCGGCTTCCCAGGAGATTCAAGTTCGAGGGTGTTACGGCGACGAAGATGATGAAATCACGTAATCGAATGCCGAATAATCCGTTTATCTGATAACTCACGATTGGAAGAGGGAAAGTTACACGAAATGTGCTCCCCTCTTCGACCCTTATCTGGTCTCTTTAGTCACTCGTACGGATTCTTCTGCGCGATATCGACTTCGATTTCACGTTAAAAGTCTCGATCATCGTCGTTACTCTTTAACGAACGAAAGGGTACGTCTTATAGGGACCACTAACGTAACGACTTTATTAAGATAATTATTAAGTTAAGTGAAAACTATGTTCATCTTCGTTACGCATCTTAATTTATTCCAACCTAGAAACAGGTTGCACAGGAGTATACGTAGAAGTGTACACCAAAGAATGTTTAACTAAAAATTCATGAAAATTTCTATTCGAATACGAACTGAAACAAAATAATTTTACAATTCCACTCTTCCCATTAATGAATATGTATTTTATAGGTTTTTAATTTAAGAATTATACTCGCTCTAGTGGCTCACTCTAGTGGCTCACTCGCTTACCGTTTGACTTAAGCGATCGTTTTCGTATGTTTTGTTTCGCACTATTTCAGCGTTAACGATATACAGACGGAATATACAGTTTTTGATACGCCAGTGTCAGTGCCATTCCAATGTACTCGCGCAGAGAACAGCATTGTCCCGCGCAAAATTCAACCGTACCTAAGAGGTTATATTTTCGATACGCCAGTGTCAGTGTCAGTGTCAGTGTCATTCCAATGTACATACTCGCGTAGAGAACAGCATTGTCCCGTACAAAATTCAGCCCTACCTAAGAGGTTAACCATCGACTGTAAATACTCGTGAGTTTTTTTATATTGTCATGAATTTGTTGTCCACTTTGCCTGTTTCAAATTGATATAGTTCCGTATACCTAAGCAGTAACCGCCGGAACAACTCGACGGTGAGATTTTTCCAGTCTCGCCAAGGAAACGAAGGGAAGCGCGGAGCTCGTTACCGCGTCGTGAATCGGACTTTCCCACTAAAATCAGGACCACTTCAACCGATTTCTCGAAAATCTATCGCCGCGATTCCGCTATTATCTTCCTACTTCGGTTCTGCGTCAGCGTGCAACACCGATTCCGCCATCGACTCGAGACGACTCGAGCTTCGGTATTATCGATCGGCGGTTCTCTCCTTGACTGATAGGCGAAATCGATCGGAAGGAAAGTTCACGTAAGTGGTATTACCGAAAAGAAATTTACGATATTGAGGTCGAACGTTACGGAAGTTACGCGCAGCATTTTGTGCCGATGCTTTCATAGAAATTAAAGTGGCCGCATCGCTGAGAATTGATGTTTCAACTTGGCCGAGCACCGTGCACGTTACGGAATAAATAACATTCATGAAATCAACAACCGTAGAGAAGATAAATATCCTAATTATCATACGCTTAAATGATAAGAGAATATTTTTAGTGCTGCTCTTTGCCCACATTATAATACGAATAGATAGACGTTCTTACGAGGCATGAGCAATATCTTTGATTTTTTTTATAAAAATAATAGTTTCATCGGGATACTTCCTTCGTGACAGTATCGTGTTGTTTATGAGAATAATAGTTTATTTTATATTTAAGTTCTTAAGGAACAATTTAGCAATAGTTTACTTACCGTCGTATCGATATACTGAAATTTACAACAAAATTGTTTATGACTTTTCAAACCGCGATTGCCGACAACGGCGCCATCTGTTTCCTTCTAGCTCTCTCGCGAGTCCATGTTTAAAGTGTGCACGTGTAAGACGTTAATCGTTACGCGGAAAGAACTATTATATATTTATTTTTATATAATTATTCTTTGGATAAAAATACGTTTCGCGAGTCCATTTGGTGGAAAACGCAACACAAACTGTGGAAATTTGGGGGTTCGAATGAGCAAAACACGACTTCCTCTCAGTAACACACATTCAATGAGGACGAGGTCTTCGTTCCAGGCAAAAGACACACGGTACAATAATAGTAAGTCAGAGGAACTCTAGGTGGCGCAGAAACAAATGCCGCTTTATTT